CCCCCGGCCAACTCCCCCCAGTTTATGTACTGAGCATGACATCATATGGTATGGAATATCCCTTTGGCCAGTTTGGGTCAGCTGTCCTGGCTGTGCCCCCTCCCAGCTTCTCGCTGGCAGGGCATGAGAAGCTGAAAAGTCCTTGACTAGTGTAAGCACTGCTCAGCAACAACTAAAACATCAGTGTTCTCATCAACATTTTTCTCATACTAAATCCAAAACACAGCACTATACCAGCTACTAGGAAGAAAATTAACTCTATCCCAGCCGAAACCAGGACAACTGTCTTCACAGAGGACATGCTGGGTTTATGCAATTTGCTTAGACTGTGAAATGTCATGTGAATTTTAGGTACTGCTGTAGTCCTATTTCCACACTCACTGCTTCACGAACAGCGTGTCTATACTACAGCAATGTTACAAACATTTTTAATAGTAGGTGTAGAAGATATCAAAATAAAAACAAAGCATGCTGTCACAACATTACTTTAGGGCAAAGTGCCAACTAATTGGATGGCCTCAAAACCGGTTTTGAGAATCGGATTGCCACGTTTTTGCCTGGGGTTTCCTGGACACCCACGTGATCTCCCATGCTGCTTGAGTGAGGCTTCCTGGGAGCTTTGGCCCTTCTGTGTGTTCGTGCAGTGCAGTTGGTCAGCACATGTGCAATAAGCATGATACTTCCCAGAAGTGTATGTGTATGTACGCTGTGTACAGTATGTATGCTGTAGAGCCAGGCTGAGCATTTCTGTGGAAAATGTACGTGTGCATAACTGTAGCCCACAAGTAGTTCCATTAAGCCGAGTTGTGTAAATAAGCCTATTTATTTTCAACGGTTGGAGTTTAAGGAATTGGCTGCCTAATAAGTGGGATTCTGACTATGACTGGATTGCTGGGTGGTAATGGAGCAATGTATTGTAGTGTTTTAAAACCGTGAATGGGCTGAGGTTTGATGACAGCTGAATCAAATTCACTCTGAACAAAAGTGAACTTCACTTAATATTTCAGTGAATCTGGGATAAGCTGTGAGATCAAATGCAACCCAAAGCAAGTGATGTGGTATCTGCTTTCATAGTGAAAGTTCTTCAGAAATTAGCCTAAAGTTATTGGAAGAGATGTTGATGTTCCAAACAAATCTAGTTCCAAAATCACTGAGCTTGTTACTTTTAAGTAATCGAATAGATCTTTGTGATCTCATCCCCAAATTTAATATTAAGTCTTGGGCTTCACAGAGTATGTTTAATTATTAACAAATTTAGGCCTGCCTTGTTCTACAGAGAAGAGAGAATCAAGAATGGAAAGCTAAAGAGAAGCCTTTTTCCTGTCTAGGTCATTTATATTTAATACAGCTACTGACTGGACGACTTCCAAAATAATGTCAGGCTTTGAATATGGAACATTCGGAGCCAAAGTAGAAGTCACTCACGTGGCAGCTGTGAGAGCAGCTCCGTCCCATAACAGTAGTTGTGGGCCACATCCTTCTGTGCAGAGTAGCTATTCATTGTGTTGTTGTAAGAAAACATCTACCAGGATCTGCAACCTGAACGTCTGTTGACTACATTTGTGACTTGTAGGTACATGCGAAGGTGTTTTTTGAGCATGCAGTGCTGTTCAGTGAGGGGTGTGACCGCAGAAGGTCTCTAGTCCATTAGCTGTCCCTACAACCAGTGCTGTGCACATCTGCATCTGGCACTCGTAGAAGCACTGTGACTATTTCAGAATCATGTGTGGGAACTTGCTGAGACTATCATTCTCTGTTAATCCAGTAGCTTCTCCTCAGACTCTGAAGCTCAGCCCTGTTGCAAGACATTAAGTCCTCCAGGAAAGAATAATGCATTTGTTAGTGGTCTCTTCCACACAGGTTCCTCATTCTTGCCTTCAGAACATCTCATGACATGGCTGTCATCAGAGAAATTTTAATAGAACTGTTTTTCCCTGGAAGAAAATAGCTGTGTCAAAATAAAGGCATTTTGAGAAAACACGTTAGTCGTGCATAAATTTTGCAAAACTAAAAATTATGTCCTCATGGTATTTTTTTATAACATATGATAATAAAAATGTTAAGAACTGTAATCATCAAGACTGTTAAACAGCTATGCAATGTATATCAATTTTGTCTACATTAAATGTTTTTCTCAGCCTAAATAGTTGGGGGGGCAGGTGGGAGAAGAGATATTTTTTACATTCTTTTTGTGGAAAGGCAATCCAAGTAATCATAATGATTAATTCTGTTGCCTATGGTAAAAGTATTTAAGATTGGATGCACAGCTTTTGAGCTCCTTTGGACAAGCAGTCATCAATACTATTGGACTCCTACCTATGCTGCAAATAATGGTTGTCTTCTCAAACACCATACAGTCTGGATCTAATCTGGTATTTTATCTCCTTGATTGTTTCCTATTACCTGTGGAAAGGAACATTCCTTGCAGTTTACACTGAGTAGATACAGTGTAGATAGAATAACCTCAGTTTACCAATGAACAAAAGCAATTGAAGGAAGAGTGCACGCCTTGATTACTATCATTTGCTTTCACAGCTATGCTATAGAAGAAAATAGACCATCAAGCAAAAATGACATTAGGAAAGCTGCTTGTTATTCACATAGAATGTGTCAATGCAAATGTGCCTGAATTGCATTTCGGGTCTTTTAGGTAAACAGTTATTATATAGCATCTTTTATTTCAAATAGATGGTACAGACACCCCCTTTTGATATTTGGAGAAGACTGGTCTATTTTACCCCTTCATGCACGTGAAACTCCCATTAAAATTAAGATAAAAATGAGTCATGCTCCTCTCTTCACTGGGAATAATAGGCTACTTCAATTAAGTGTGCTTTGCAGTTGTCATTCTAGTCTGGAGTTGCAACCACTTTTTTCTCTTGAGGGAAAGGTGGGGCAGGGCCAACGTTAATTCCCATTGCTTTGAACCATCCTGATCTTTCCCTGTTTTCTCCATGCATATGATTATTCTTATTCGTAGTAGTAGTATTAGTATTATTCCTTGGATTATACTGTTTTCCCACTGTACCTGTGGCATTGTGTAGGCAGTATCTTTCCAACATAAAGATGTACGGAGTGTGATCTCCTCAGAGCCTCTAGCTCTTACGCCTTTTGTTCAGTGTCTGTAGTGAATTGTATGAGGCGCTCCCCTCCCGTAGGCTTTGCGTGTACTGCTTGTTCAGGTTTCCCAGGCTGAAGGCCAGAAAACAAATTGCACAACATAACTATGGCACCTAAAAACTTTTTTTTTATTTTATTCATAATTTTTATCCTCATACTGCTTGCCATTGAAAGTTACTTCCGTGTGCAAACCTTTACAATAATATTAAATTAAAATCCATCTAAGACATCCTTTAACATTAAATAAGCTTACGACAGTACATATTGAAACTCTGACATGGGTTGGCAGTAAGATGTTTGTGTGTGAGCGTGAGCTCAGCAAGAGGAAGCCCTTCAAAATGGAGGGAAATACTGTCAAGATGAATGAATAGGGAGCAAGAAGTTCATTCATGTGAACTCTTATATAATGTGTATTTGATGCTTCTCTATCTGCCCCAGCAGGCTGAGTAAGAAGAGCTTAAAGATTATCTTTCAGGGAGTATTTAACAGCATAATACTGTTCTTGTTCAGAATATCTGTGCGGCTCAGTTTTTGTCTCAGGTAGATCATGCAACATCAAACCAATGCAAGCTTTCTGCTTTTGTCTAGCTAATAATAGGAACACATAGCTTGAACTTGTTCTGAAACTGGTGATTGATATATATGTTCATTTAAAAGGATTCACTGTGAAGGGATCACAATGAGATAATTAAGGAACCTTATGATCATAAAGGCTCCGATTATACGCCATTTCATCTTTAAAAAATTCTGTTATGAATGAAAAATTTCGTTTTCAAATACATTTGAATATTCAGTTAGTTTTGCAGTAATGTGGCTTCCAAGACTTTCACAATATATTTACATCTTCTGCACATTATTGTTCATGGTATATTAAAAGTGCTAGATACTTCACAAAAACATGGTATATTGCAATTTTTGGGAAGGCTGAAGATTTGGCTTGTGTCTCAGCCCAAAGAAGGGAAGTATGAAAAACGTGATTGAAAGTGCTAGCTCTCTTTCTGAATGAATCGGTAGCTGCTACTTGTTGCTGGTTTGCATTGAAAGCACTATACTTGCAAATAAATCATTTCCAAGTCTTTAGTGAAGCATTAAGTACAACAATATGTAATTCCTTTTTTTCTTTTGTTTCAATAACAGAATTCAATGTAAGTTGCAGATATGGAGGAGTTTTTCATGTTGAGAAAAATGGTCGCTACAGTCTCACACGATCTGAAGCAGTCGAACTCTGCAGAGCTCTCAATAGTACCTTGTCAACGCTAGAGCAGTTGAAGAAAGCTCATGAACTTGGATTTGAAACTTGCAGGTAAAGAAATTCTTAAAAAAATAATATATCATGACAAGTCCATCCATCCATGCTATATTGTAATAATTACAGTTGACTTCATGTAGCTGTTAATTAGATGGCCGTATCAGTCCTCAAGTAAGTTCTATTCTGTGATGAATAAACCATCTTTGTGCATGTGGATGTTTGCTCTGGGCCTGGTAATAAATAACTCCTTGCCTGCATATACTTTTTACCAATTATCTTTAAAAAATCAACCTCTTACAAATAAAATCTAAAGATAACAGAAGATCGACAGTATAATAAACTAATTAGGGAGATGTTCAGATCATACTGTATCACTGACTAATTGGTAAGATAAGTATGTGAAAAGTATTTATGATTTTTAATGACCTGATGTAAGGTCAAAGACTGAAGATGGTATATACAGTATAGGGAACTCTGTCTTGTCAAGAAACAGTAAAAAGCACCAAGTGGTACTGAGGGATGAACTCCTGACATCCCACTGAAAAAATGGCCACAGTATTAGTGCATTCTTATAATCTGTGAATGGAGAATTTTCAGAAGACAGCCATAAAAATGATTAAAAAACCCAAAACCATGTTGTCAAGTGACTTAATTGTCCTCTGTAATTACTGATGTATAGGGCAACAAATGCGGATAATACAGACTCTTCAGTTTAGCAAAAAGCAGCTAGACCAAGAGACTGGAAGTTACTCACAGAATATTTTGGATTCAAAAAATTAAGTGAGTACTAATAAAACAAAATATGTAAGGATAATAATTATTGGCTGAAACAACTTACAAGGTTTGTAGTAGATTTTTTGTTACACCAAAATTTCATCAAGATGAAATATTTTCCCCAAGGATGCCCTCTGTTCAAACAGTAATCAAGTCGGGACAGTCCTATGGTCTGTAAATATGTCAGACTAGATGATCATGTGATCTTGCTTTACAAAATACATAACACACTTATTATGCAAGTCATCCTAAACATTCGTATGCAGAAAAGAGATTGAACTCAGGAGCTGTAAATTTGAAGTTTGGTGGGTTTGGTTTTTGTTTTTGTTTTTTTTAAATCAGATAACATAGATTCATGTTGGTAAACCATTATAGAGTTGAAATAAATTTCAGTAGATTTTCAACTTTATTAGTCTAAAATTAACAGCAAATATGCAGAAATGAAATTTATCTTCTGACTGACTGGAGTAGAAAAGTTCAGTGGACATTTCTCCAAAATTTTAAGACTTTCATTCTGGTACCATGAGAAATAGTACTAGCATCAATACTGCTTGCAACTATTTCCTGTGAATTATTTAATTTCAGTTTAGTCAGTGGTGCTTTACTTTTTTAACGCCTAATGCATGAATGTTTTTCCCCACTGGCTTGCAAGCCCATAAGAATTGAATAAAGCTCCTTTCAAATTAATAGTATCCATACAAAGTAATTTGTAATCATGGAAAGCTACATGTGCAGTGCCTTGAAAACATTCTTATACATATAAATGTCATGCACTGCCGTTGATGACAGCATATGGCACGTTCATTTTCACAAGCATTATGCCCTGCATGGTGGTGAAAGAGGTGGACAATAGTGCCAGAGAACAATGGACAGAAAATTCTTAGAAGATTCTTCCATGAGAAGTGGGAATGTCATTTAAAATAGTACCACATGAAGACTAGAGGCAATTCTTTACTCTGAGGGAAAAGTCCTGCATAACATAGTAGGCATGTTCTTTCTCTAACATTAGCATATGAACATACTTAGCATTCTGAATTGTCCAGCACTACACAATATGTAGAGACTAAGGATCAAATCCTAACTAAACACCTAGGGATAGAGATTTCTAGTGCTAGTAATTATGAGTATTCTGCAATGTGGAAAGTCTTTTCTGAAGTTAAAATATAAAGATAACTGAATGAAGGAGTAGGGGGAAATGTTTTTTGCAGCGGGAAGCTGTAGTTTTTCATTAATGTTACAATTGTCCCTAATTCACAGTTTAGCAGAGGACAGATTTGGACATGTAAGGCACATAGCTAGGATTACTTCCTCCCTTCCTTCTGGCCAACCCTCCCACCCTCTTACTTTCATTTGTTGATCCTGTGCTAGAAGTCCTTGTCCGTAAGGCTAGGCTCTTATCAAGCTTGAGTAGGAGAGAAAAAATACTACATATAATCATCAAAATACATGTGGAATGGTGAGTGAATAAGATGAATCAACAGACCATAACACAAGTAGGTGATTAATAAAGTGTCAACATTGTAGGCTCAGTTGGAAGTGTGACTAAAGCAGTTTATAATTCTACCTACAAGAGAGTTTCAGAATTGCAAGTATCTGCACATTAGACATGTAACTGCAATGGGGCTCACAGATAAAAAACTGCAAAGCTATGAAATTTACTCCTCCCTGATAAATTGTACCTCTCAAGAAGTAAAACAAAACCCAAACCAAACCCCAGTTCTCGTTACCATTCTATCACACGTCCCAGCTAAATACATGGGAATTAATCAGGTGTTACAGGATTGCAAGATAGTAATAACGCATTGTGCATTATGTAGCTCTGTTAACCACAGTCTTCACTGAAATATGTGCACTCTGTACACAATAGCCGCATTGTTCGACTGAAAGATACAGTAAGAATTTGTGGATGAATGAGTGTTGTATCTGAATATTTTACTAAGCTGTCAGCTTTTGCAGAAAGTGATGTCTTACAATCATTCTCTAAATTTGCTCAGGTACTATAAATTGAGCCCTCAACATTTCTGTGTGAAATGTCACTGAGCACTATGTTATGCTCAAAGCAATGAAAATATGACTCCCTGAAGAAAAAAGAAGCCAGTCTTTAGTGTCAGATAATACAACCTCACACTGAATAAAAAGTGCACTTGCCTCCCAGTCCCTCACTTTCACTGCCTTGCTCTGGAACCGATCGTCCCAGCTAATAAGATGCTCACTTAATTAAAATGTGTTTACCTCTAAACATGCAAAAATGGTGTTGAGTGGCTGGAGACTGATGTAGCTACATGTGAGAAAGGAACACTCTTCATATACAAAAAGTATGCATAAACACATGCACCTTTTAAAAATAATGTAAGATGAAAATAATGGCTTCTTCGTAGCTTCTTCATGTTTGAGATATCTGGAACATTTATGCCATCTGCTACAATATGTAATATGGTGTATTTTCCTCTGTTCTTCACAGGTATGGTTTTGTAGTGGGGAATATTGTTATCCCACGAATCAATCCCTATCATCTTTGTGCAGCAAATCATACTGGCATTTACAAACTTTCAGCAAACACAACTGGTCGGTATGATGCATACTGTTATAATGCGACAGGTATGTATATGCTTTTATGATGTATTTTAGATATAGATTAACTAACAATAGCATATGTAATCTCCTATTTAAGGTACTGGAATGAGGGCTTCTATATTAAATTCATCTGTTTTTCAGCTGAGAAGAAATACATTTTGTCAGCCTCTAGAAGTGTATCTATAATGCCAGCAATGAATTTGACCCATTTTGTCATTAGTGTGTTTTGAACTAAACCATTTTCTGCCCTTGGGACTAACTTAGTAGCTTCAGAATGGTTCATTATAATGGTTTAGTGCAGTGAACCACTGCAGCAGTGAAATCTAAAAGACAAAACTGTTGTAGGCAACAGTATTTGAAGATAAAATCTGGACTAACTTCAAGTGTCTTGAATTTCAGTAAATTATTACATTCACAGTGGAAACAGACAGATCTTACAGAAAGGTATAGGCAAAATTAATTGCTTATTTGAATGGCAGTGACATTTTTTTATTTTATTCTTGGTGGACATATCATTAAAAATCATCTTTGCATTGGCATAGTATCAGGTGAGCTGCCATCCTCTGTCACCCATGGATGACTCTTCTCCTGCTACAGTGATGTCCATCCCCACCAGAGCTTTATAACTCCTCCTGAGTCTTATACCCTCCCGGCACTATGAGCAGGTGGCTCACACACTGGCCCCAAGCATGGCACTGCAGCCCGCTGGAGCAAGCAGTGCTCACCAGACCAGGGCACACTCTGCCTGTGCAGAGCCCTCCATGGAGGGGACAGGGTCCCTGCAGCTAAAAAGGATTAGATCTGCCACTGCCACCACAACAGTGGGGCTGTCTGCATTGAAACTGGGTCATAGGGCTATTTTAACTGACATTGATTGCAACCATTTTCTGGAATGGTTATGGAAATGGAGAATCTCGTCGTTAGCTGAGAGAACAATCTTGAAGTGCCCCACCTGTGAAGGAGCAAAAAGGGAATATAGGTAGAATAACGTTTGGTTTGGAAATTTGTTTAAAATTGTCCACATCTGAAGCTGACGTTTTGTGATTATGTACAATTAACATGGGTATACATGTAACTTTTTTCTCAATTTTCTCAAATTAATATTTTCTATTTTCCTTATTTTACAGAAACAAGGGACAAAACGTGTGAGCCAATTGAAAGACTAGATACTTCTTTCCTCAGTAATCAGGGTGAAATAGGTACTGTATTAGATTGTAGGTACTGTATTACTTGATTAGAAAGACCTGCCACTTGTTTCATTTTTAGGATCTGGTTATCTTTTTTTATATAAACAATTGCTAATATTAAAAATCAAGCCAAACATAAGAAAAAGAAGTCAAGAGATGTTCAACAGCAATTAAAGCAATTAGTCATTTGTCTTCCCCTAAATCCTATGGAGCTTGGTTTGTCTCAAGGTGTGACCAAACATTTTTATATAGGTATTTGACATTTTTTAGCACCTCAGAGCTGCTAATGTTTCTTTGCCATATAGGACTTTGCTTAAGACAGCAACATTTCTACATCTCATTTGAGCTGCTGGTTAGAAAAGCAGCTGGAAGTGGAAGAAAACTCTCATAATAAATTATTTGTCCCAATTCTAAAATTCTGATTGACTTTACAGAGGCCAAGGTTTTATGTTCAAAATCAAACTGTCTGATCAAAATATCAAAATATTTGATGTAGAGTAGGCCCTATATGTTTGACAAATATATATATTAGCATATATACATTAGACATAGTTTAGTGATGTATGATCTAAACAGATTAGATAGGATGGCAAAAATGGATGAACTGGTATTAATCCACAATTGTTTCTCTTTATTTTTTTGTTACAGGACTTAAACTGTTTAGCATTACTGAAATATAGCTATGTAGCTCCTTTATATTATCAGCTGCTTATTTTCCTCTTTCCAACAGTCATTGACAATGCAGATGGCTCACGTTATAATGCAGATGGCACGCGTCATAGTGGAGAGTCCTCAACCTCAGGTGCGGATGATGAAAATGTAGGTAGTGGATCAACACATGACACAACTCCCATGGATACCTCCATCAGGAGATCCAGCCCCTCATATTATGGAAGTGCTACTCCAGTCTCACAGCTGCCAGATCATTCTTCTGGAGGGGGTGAAAAAGAAATTCCTAGAAAAGATTCTGGTAAGGACAGTAGGTTGCCACTGTATCCCCTTTAAAATAACTAAGTTAAGGATTACATTGCTAGTTAAAGGATATCATGAGGGAATGAGGAGCACTGTCTCTAATTTGTATCCTGGAGAAGTAAAAGGACAATGTGTGTCTTTGAAAGAAAACAGAAGCATTCTGAATTTCTAAGGATTTTTTTGATTGCACGGGAGTACAAAACAGCCACACATCAGCAGTTTCCCACATAAACCTTCCCAGGATGTTGAGAATAGATGGTTCTAAGAATTGATCTTATTCTTATTAAAATATTTATTTCATTAAAGGCTCAAAAACATGTCTAGAAGTGAACACAGAGAGGTTAGGGAGGCTGAGGGTATGGGTATATGGAGGTAAGGATAACATTCTTATCTTATCTGTTGTCTAAAAGGATGAATTGACATTAAGTAATAAGAACAAGGGAGGAATTTACAGTACAAGTGATTTCTCTTTGTACAAATACAGGGGTTTTTTTAGGATATCTTCTTACTATAGCATATTACAGAATGCACAGAGAGATAAAAATGTCAAATTAAAATGTTATTAATACCTTCTTCCTTTAGTTGGTAAAGCCAAATTCTATTTTCATGAAGCCCTACCAAATACAAATGCCATACTCTTTTCTAGGGCATTCTGCAGCGTGGCAAATTAGTGAATTAGAGTGCCTTGCCTGTATCTTGCTTCCTTGTGAAAGTGGCATGTATTTTATTTCATCTTTTATGATGTCACTTGTGTGGCTGAAATTATCAGAGGTCTGAAAGACTAGTTCCCATTGAACCTAAGGGATACAAATATAATTCATCCTCTAAGTACAGTAAAGTTTACTGTGTGACCTCTGACTATAGGCTTTTTATCAAATCACCAGTAACTTACCAGTGAAGGATACCCGTAGTTTGCATCATTATCCTCAATAAATACTGAAATTAAAAAAAAAAAAATAGCAGAAGCATTAGGATTATAAAATGACTTTTCACTGGTGGTATACTCCTGACATGTTATGCTTGTTTTTCCATACAGTTAGCATCATGAAAGGTAAATCCTAACATTCTCTTCCTAAGGAACTAGGATCAGAGCCATTCCCCAAGGTGTATGCCATGTATTTCAATTGCTTGCCATGACAATTCTTATCAACTCTGCTTACATGTAGAGTTTAGATTTTTGGAGTAAAACTCAGAATATATCTCAGTAAAGAGGGGAATACAAATAAGTGTATTCATTGCTCTAGAATCCCTGTCCAGATGGTATACAGGTACAATTAGAGCTTGAATCACATGAACAGATCATTGCCAGAATGTTCATTATCGCTGTAATACATACTCCTCTTGAAATAATCTGTTTTGGTGATATCCTTACTATGTTAGTAAAGTAAGGCTATTTGGGATTGAATTACATGAAGAACCTAGTCTGTATCTTTCTTCTCTCTTGGACCAATAAATGAAGGAATGAAACTTGCATTATAGAATAATTGAAGTAGTTGCAAGTACTGAGTTGCAACTCAGCTAATGAAGTAGTAATGATTCATCCATCACCATACAGATGATGAAGTTTCTCCTGTATCACCTGACATCTCTTTGGTGACGGCAGCTGATGATTCCCCTGAAAAAGACGGTGGACAGTATCCTGCGAGTACTAGTAAGATTTATGTATTATAATAAGTACATCAAATATAGATTGCATTAAAACTGCTTTCTTCTTTCAGCAGGGCATTCTGGTAAGTGGTGAAGCATACGTATCTCCAATTTTGGAAAGACATTGAAAGACAGTACTTTCCAGACTGGTTAAGTCAGAAATAAACTTCACTCTCTGGGACAAGGGGAGCAAAAGCATTTACTGTATGTTTACTGCAATGCTTATACATGGGTTCAGAAAGATTGTTGTTTTGTGTTTCCCACTGCTTTTTTATCACAACTATTTACTCTATGAGGCACCACAAATTAGTGCAACCAATTATAACTTGAAGTCAATTTATTTCCGAGGCAGAAAAGGACATTTTTGTCAATTTGTGATGAAAGTGTCTGTGATTCTAATATATTTATGGTTATGAATGTGGGTAATCTACATCAAAAACATGGCCTTGCTCACCAAAGCAGTGCTTTAAGTGGCAGTTTCACTTGCCATGCCACTTGCAAAAACTAATTTTGTCCTTGTTGTTGGCAATATGCCTGAGAAAAAATTGGGGCCTGTGGTGGCTCCATAGCTCTGAGGTCTCAAAAGAACAGTAGCCATTTTCTCTGCTTTGTCTTTAAATAGCTGTACTGCGTGGGAAAAACTGCTTGTGATGTTTTTATCAAATATGTAGTGCACAGCAGCTACAGCAAATAAAAAAATTTTAATGTCATCTTACATGTTTTAAAGTGGAACATATATATACATATATTGACTCTAGTTCTTAAGTTTAAAGTGATAAAGACCTTTGCCCCAGAAAATAAAGTGAACCTAAAGGGAGAACATTTTAATGATACAAAGGAGATCTACAGAGGCATGTTGTAGTAAAGATTGAACTGATAGAAATGAAAGTTTCTTCCTGCTGACTCTTTTTTACTCACCATGGAAGCCCGTGATAGTGAGGAATTTGCTTAATTGTTTGTTGGTTGCTGATAGATGGTCAAATGGTCTATGGGACGTGGAGGGACGGTGCCCTCGTTACTATACTTAGGAATCACAGGATAGAGTAAGAATGATTGTATGTCTTACACAGTTAGCAAAAGCTTTACTAAAAGACAGATACCATTCAACCAAGCATCTTGTCTCAGAGGATGTGAAGGTTAGTAACACCTTATAAATATGTAGATGGAAAAAAGAAATATCAGGTTGATTTTCCCAAAAACCTTGAAAGCAAGTAGAGAATTTTCTGGTGCTTGTTTCAAGTGAAAGATTTTGCTACAAAGTACTGCCTGTAAGGGTGGGGGTGGGGGAGGAAATCCCACTTGGTAACAGTGGGGAGTTTGTCTGGTTGACTCTGATGGTGATTTTTGCTCCATATTTATTTGCTTTTGTATGCATGTGTGACTTAGTGCTTCCTTGTACAGATGTTACTGTACCCATTGCAAAATCTGTGCATTGTTTCTAGACAGGAAAGCTTCCAGTTTTCCTTTTACTACTTGATTATCAAATGTACTGATCCTAAATATGTATGTCCCTTCCTGTTGCTAACAGTTCTCCCTCATGGGCATGACTATTTTACAGAGGGAAAACTAGAGGTATTTAAGATTTTAAAAGATCAAAATAACTATAGAGGTATGTAATAGAAGATGTCAATACTGATATATGTGTTATCACAGAAGTGATAGCATTGGCATGATTACTTATTGGTTTAGGGTTGCTAGATTGATTCTCTGGAAAAAAAGATTATGAAGGTACTGCACCTGGGCTTTTCTGATAGCTTTAGCTCAGCGACATCACTTTAAAGCCAAACAGACCCATTTCATTTAATTTTACTGCATTACAAATGAGTAATATAGCACTCCTTTCAGAAGTTAAGTATAAGCTATGCATCTCCATGAAAAGTCATCAAATATTCAGTAGCCTAGGAGAAAGTTACATGGAGAACAAACAAAAAAGAAGATAAAACCATGCCCCAATGTCTGCTATTTACATTGTGCAACAGTGCAGGCTCATTGGAATATCCCGGCCACAATTTAATTTCCCAGAGAAAAATCCCCCAGACAGGAAAGTAGAAAATTAAGAAATAAGTAAAGAAAACTATTCAGCATATATCTTCAGATAGATGGCTAAAAATATTATCTATCTAATTCTATAGTGTGTGAAAGTGAGAAACAAAACCAGTGGCTCTCCATCTATACTACACAACATTTGTAAACTTCAAGTTTGGAGAAAAGGTGTCTAGCTTGATCAAAACACTTCTTTGCTATGGGTTTGAAGTGATCAATTGCCACAGCTTCTTGTTCTTCAGATGATCCCCTTTCATTATTGCTCTGGCTTTGGACATTATTGGTGATGTTCTCCATCAAGTTCACAGTTCAGATTAATACACTGCCGGCACTTTGCCATCAACTTTCCTCTCCTGGCTGAAACAAGTTTTTCTCTTTGTTATTAACAAGTTATGATTCATCTGTAGATGTGCCATGGATCAGATGTCATAAAATTCTGTTGCTGATTGATGAGATACTTCCCTAAGTTATCAGAGCAAGTTACTCAAACAGTAACTGCGACTGATTTTGTTCATCCATATATAATAGATATTTTTATGCTCTGGTGGATTTTCCTTTTATTTGGTTTGGAGCATTCCCTGAAAAAATCTCATCAATGAGAAAAGTCTTATGTCCATACTTTCGCTGATCTGACAGGAAAGCATCTGCATTGGTATTTTGTATGTGGAAGGAAGCCACGAATACATATTCATCACTTAAGAAAATGAATTCCTAAGGCTTGTTGTGGAAAGCAGGTAGAGGTGAGAATTTTGATGTGATTACAGCAAGTCAGATGGCAATTATTTAGTTATTCAGTTATTTTCTTGTTAACCAACTTTTTGGCATTATCTTTTTGTTCACAGTTCCATCCCAAAGCTCCAAATCTGAGACCACCTGGGTTTTGATGGTCTGTTGCTCAGAGATCAGATTTTGAATGTCCAGGTTTCCCATTTTCTGACACCAGTGTCGGAGTAGTACTATTAGTACTAAGTTTAGGGAGCAATTAGTGACTGTGAGAAGAGACTATTTATTCAGGCAAGGACAGCTTTTCAGAAAGGCAAAATCTGTTAGGTTTTGCTGCCAAAATATCTTGAAAAAGTGAAGTTCTGAGTTTAAGTCCATACACTTTGTACACTTTGCAGTTTACAGATAGGCAAAACATAACTACTGCAGACTGAACAACGTCAGTTTATCCTGTTTGATCATTACAACTTTGATTCCTAGGTCTTGCATTTTCCAATTTTCCAATATGCATACTTTCATATATTGCACAAAAATTGATCAAAGCTAGTGTCTTTGATGTTAGTCTTCAAGGTATTTTTCTAAATTAATTATTTAAAGATTTTATTCTGAATGAAAAAGAGTATGTGATATCTTTTCTTCATCTTCAAGATATAGAAGTAAGATGGTCTAAATGCTGATAAAAATATTGCTTGTGAGGAATTGCCAGAATAAAAATATTTCCAGAGAAACATTTTGAAGTAGATTTTGCTTTCTTTTGGTGAATATGTGTATGACTTGAGGTGCAGCTCTTCTTGCAAACCCTGCTTCTCAGTTTATTGATTCATAACTTTCATAGCAGAGAGAAAGGTTTAACTATCAAATGGCTTGCCTGAGGGATTTCAGTTTCTATGGTGTGCATGCTTCTATTAGCTTTGAATGCTTTTTGTCAAAATATTGGGGTGTATTTCACATACAGTACATATTTTGATCTGTCACACCTAAAAATGCTATGCAAAATTCATTGACTTTACTGGACCTTCAGAGCTGGCAACACAATCTTATACTTTAGTAGAATGTTTCGAACTTCACTTACACTAAAAGCATTGCATATTTTTGCTGTTTAAGGAATGTAATGATACCACGGGTTCATACATTCTCCTTGCACTCACATCCATCTCAGTGGCATGAGCGTGCTCAGGGTGCCGGTGCTGGTGGACTTGACTTTGCTGGAGGAAAAGTGCTTCTCAAGAAATAATAACAAGATCTGGGTTGAATGAACCATGTCCTAACAGCTCCAGGGCCTCATCATGACAACCTGGAGAAAGCCACCACCCAAGCTCGGTGGAATCTGTTCTCAAACCACTGGTGGTGGTCAAATCCTGGACAGAAGGTGCAAGAACCCACGCAAGCAACCAAGGGTAAAGAACGTCATGCTAAGAGGGCGCTTTGATTAGGGGCTGAATAACCAGAGCACCAGGGCAGCAAGCTTCAGAAGCATTAAGTGGAGTGGGGTTGAATGTGTGGTATATGTCCCTGCTTTTTGTTACCGTGTGTTTGAAGTGGGAAAAGCAAAGTACTGGGCTATCTCTCACTGACTGTACATTTGGTAGCAACAGGGCAGTTGTCCACACTGTTCATGTACTGCGGAGGTATTCTGCGTGTCTGAAAGGGATGAGTATGTGAGTCATTTTATAAAGGATGTACTTGGGTTTTTCTTTTTTCCTGTTTGGAGGCAATTTAGAAGTAGACTATTCCAATGAGAAGGACTTGTGAGAGAAAGGAAGAAAATGTTTTCAAGCCAGTACACTATGCTCACTCTTGCTAGAAGAGGACAGAGTATGGTTAGTGCTGCAAGCATGCATAGGGCACTGAAAGGTAGCTAAGAGCCATGTTGGGGCAGCTTCAGCAGGGCCATGGCAGAGTGATGAATCCCTGGTGGGTGGAAGAACCAGGAGGGGATATGGACCATGGGAAGCACGGTGCTGTACACTCTCCTCTGTGATTATAAGGCTGCATGTAGGGGAGACAGGAAAGCATAACTGCTGTCAGCAGAAGACCTTGTGGGTTAGGGCTTCATGGCAGATTTAACATCATCACAGCAGATGTGACCTCAAGTGGCAATGGTTCAGATGATGAAGACTCTTCAGAGGAGACGATTTACCCAACAGTGTTTCCAGGCTGGGACAGGAGTGTGGCCAAGGACGAGTATGCTCCAAGTACTAGTAAGGAACTTCCTTTCTCTTCGGATGGTTTCTTTCT